CCAATATCAATTAGTCCCCAACTCTTCAACTTATCATGGGTTTTGAATGCGATCCATAAGCACCATCCAGGTTAAGAGATTCTGGAATCTTCCAAATAGTTCTGTCTTTTAGTCTGTATCTTTGCACCCAAGCTACCCAAAAAGATCCTCCATTGATATGTAACATCAAGTAAAACCTGGCTGCACAGGCTCTATGTGTAGAAAAGTCTTTGATGCCAAGACCTCCTTCCTCCTTTGGCAGCGCTACACATTCCCTTGCAAACTTTGATTTTCCAGTCCTATCTTCATACCAGGGCAAGTCTGAGCATATATTTTGTATACTTTTGATGACCTTATTGGGAATAATGTTTACTGCCATCCATTATTTGGTGATGTACAATACCACTGTAGAGACCAGTTGTAGCTTCCCAACATAACTAAGCTTGCTAGCTCTCCAATATCTTATCTTACTAGTGAGCCTATCAACCAGCACATTGCAGTCTACACTTGTGAGGGAGCTAGATTGCAGAGGCAAACCAATATATTTCACAAGAAGCTTCCCTTATTTGAAGCCGAAATATGTCAGAGCAAGTTCTTTCAGTTCTGCTGTCACCCCACAATACAATTCACATTTGTGGGGATTAAACTTGAGCCCTGATAAAGAGTGAAACATATCTAGAGCTCTTATAACATTTTCCAATGCAAATGCAGATCCCTCGGTAAAGATGATGGGGTCGTCTACCAAACAAAGATGGGTCAAGTTGATAGCTTTACACTGTGGGGTCGTATGGAAGGTGTCTATTTTGAGCTGCCTTGTCTAGTATTGAGGACATAATTTCCATAGCAATAACAAAGAGGTATGAGGAAAGGGGATCCCCCTGCCTCGCCCCTTTTCTTGCCTGAAAATAACCATATAAGCTCTCATGCACAATGACACTAAACCTAGTAGAGTTCGCACATGTTTGTATCCACTCTATGAATTTCCCAAGAAATTCATTTTCTCCATAACACGAAATAAATTCCCAATGGATTGAGCCGAAGGCCTTCATCAAATCAACCATGACAACACATCTAAATGCTATCCCCTTCCTATGATAATTGTGCACAATCTCTTGTGCCATGAGAATATTACCAGTTCTTCTGATCAATGTTAACCGTCCAACCATCTAGACTAGGGGCTTTGCTAAGGTCAATAACAAATAAAGATTCCTTAATCTATGCAGTTGTTATTGTTGCACACAAACTGAACCATGCATCCTCTCCCAAAACTTTGGCAACTAAGCTGTCAATTCATGGATATGCATTGACAGACAAATATTCCATACCAAACAGTTTATGGTAAATTGCCACTGCAATTTCAACAATCTTCTCAATGTCTTCACTTCTTCCCCTGAATATAGAGTTAGCTTCCTTATTTGTTTCCTTGATCTTTTATCTTTCATTGTTGCCTCCTTTTCAGCCCCTATTGTGTTGTCATTGGGGTTCTCTAGCATTTTCAACTGTGCTTTTTACTTATGTTGCCCAGCCTTTTGTTGAGCTTATTCCGAACTCTATTGAATGTGGCCCCCTCATTCTTTGTTTCCACGTCTTCTCTAGTATTATAGGGTATGAATTGTGTGCTTACCACATATCATAGCACCGAAACCATTTTGGAAAGATTCTAGTCGGCACCACAGGCTGCACTAACAGCCCACAATGGTCATAAAAATCAGGTGCCAGATATTCCTTTGCACACTCTTTAAAAGATTACAACCATTCCATATTCACCATCACCTTATCTAGTTTTTGAGCAATCAGATTTCCACTCTACTTGTTAGTCCAAGTATAGACAGGTCCTGATGCCCTATGATCAATGATCTTCATTCTTTCCACCCAACTTCTAAACTCTGTCATACCACTAGTGATGCCAATCTCATTCGAAGCTTCATGGGGTCTAGTATAGCATTAAAGTCTCCTAATATCAACCAGGCCATCCCCTGCACCTTCCATTGGGATAGCCTCTGATACATCTCAGCTCTCTCTTGCTCCTCATTCGATCCATATACCACAGTAAAGAAAAAACTAATATTAGTTTCCATAACCACTAACATATGCATAAAACCACTCTCTTTTCCCAATGTTCTAACAGTAGTGCCATCAGTCCAACCAATTCAAATCCTTCCCTTGTCAGTTTTTCGTATTTATCCTCAAATTTGTAATCCATAAATAGTTCTCTAGCCTTATCGACTTTGTGTGGCTTCACCCTTGTTTCAACCAAAGCAAAAACTTTAACTTTGTACTTTGCAAGATACTGTAACACTGCTGCATGCTTCAAGGGTTTATTTACTTCCCTCCATTCCAGGTTATGATACTCATCTAAAGTACTTGTGTATGGCTTTCACCGCTCTCACTGAATTTCTCTTCAACCCATCATGTTTATTTTTCAATGGGTCTTGAACACTAACATTAAAACCAAGTCCAATGTCAATCAACATATCAAACATATTCGCTTGAAGCAGGGGGCACTATGGATTCAACCATTTGTAATCTTCCATATATTCACAAGGTGTGATTTCATTCACTGCTTAATCAAACTCCTCTATCATAGGAAACCTAGCAGGAGTATTCACATGCTCAATTGAAATTATAATAGACGGCACAACAATCCCCACCACAACCTCCATTGGAGAGTCCACCATCACAACCTTCCCCTTTATCAAGAACAGGGGTTTTCTGGCTTTCATGAACATATGCATTGGGACTAGCCTTTGCTACCCAGGCATTCCTTTCTGGCTCTACTCATTCACCGTCACGACCAAATGTCTCACAAACTTTGCAAATATATAGAAGTTTACAATACTTCACTCCCACCTCAAACTCATTCCTAGGACCGGGAAAAACTCTAATTGACTCAGGAGATTTTCCCTTTGCGTTAAGCTCAGTTAGAACTGAAAAACTAAACAATCAATTTGCTCACACTTTCAGAAGAATAATAAGAAGAGGAAGAAGCCATCAGAAAGAGAGCACGTACCACGAAGATGAACCTGACGGCTTGAGTGGAGGACTACGATAGGGAACCAGGTGGCTTGATGGGAGGACTAGACCCCCGTATTGTGATTCAAAGTGCAAACATTTTCCATCACTAGCGTCATAATACCTTGAATTTACACCATGATTGCTTCAAGTGTATTATAGCAAACCTAGGATTGCTTTTATACAATTGATACGTTTTTTTATAGCGTTTTATGCATTGTCTAGACAAAGCGGACTAGTGGACCACTTAGAAGACATAGGGGATACCAAAAGCAAGTTGCTGGCGATGGGATTTGAAGACCGAACGCCTAGAAAAAAAGATGCATGGGGTGCCATTTTGATGAAGAGAAATGGCAAAAATGGAGCCATTTTTCCGAAGCCCATCACTACGTTAGGAAGTCATCTTGAAGCCTCCTCATTCGCTGGCCACGTGTTTGGAGCATTTTGATTAGCTGAAAGATGTTGGAGAGCAAAATAGGTCCCTAGAGATAGGAAATAAGAGAAGAGAGACGAGAAGTCAAGGAAGGGTCGTTACTTTGTCAACAGGGTAACCCTCCTTACGTAGACGAGACCACCATACGAGGGAGAAGTGATGCCAAAAATGGTGCCCCTATGCCTGTTTTCTCTGTCATCAATGTCATTTCCAGTGGGTGTTATGGTGTCTTTTTTTCAATTGATGAACAACCAGAAACCCCTTCCCATGGCTGGCTAAGTTCCTTACTTATGTAGGTATGTGAACCCTAGGGGTTCTAACCATGTAAACTCGGTGATTTGGTTTAATACAATTGTGTTTCTTTCATATGTGAGATGTTTGATTTCCTTTATTTCATTATTTGTTTATTCGAAAGAGGGATCACGCTTCATGATGAACCTGCACTCCTTCAAGGTGCAGGGATCGAAAATTCCAGTCGTTTAGGACAAGACTTGAAATAAAAGTCCTACTCGATTGACCGTCATTCGATCGAAAGGCGTGACACCTCAAGGGAGAAATCCGAAGGGTCCTTGTGATCCATTAGTTTGGTTAAATGCTTCGATACGAGGTGGGATATAACGTAATAAGAAATTTCCAACTCATATGCTACTGATCATCGAGGGACGCATGATTAGGAGACCTAGGGGGACCTTGCCTATGAAATGCCTTCCTTCTCTGCTCTCAAACTCGTCCAATCTAGCCTAGGATTTACTTTTAGAACTCTTACGTTCTTCAAACCAGAGGCACCTCAACTTCCTAAGCTCAATATCTTTTTCAATAGCACCATACCTTGCTTTTGAAGTAAGGGTTATGCGAGAGACATTGGTCTACAATACACGACAGATTAGGTCTCTTGAAAGATTGAAGATCCCCCGGATTGAGAACACGTTGTCGGATGCTTAGGTCGAGGAACTCTCGCAATGAATATGGGTTTTGAGATTTCGGGAAGAAAAAGTAATAATAGCAATAGTAGTAGAAGAAGATGGGAGAGGAGAGCATATTAGTTTTGCTTTGGGGAAGATGATAAGATAGACTAACATGGTAATGGTATGATTATCGTCAGCCAGCTGCTTGAGATTCTCAACTCTCATAGAAGACCCTCTGAGATCGTTGACCTTAGATTGACCCTCCTCGTTATCCTCCTCACGAGGCTTCAACCTCTTCTTGTTTGCCTCAAATTTCTTCTCCATTACCAAGTAATTTTTTATTTTCTCCTTCTTTAGCAAGTAATCTTAGGCATGTTGACCAAAATCTAGCTAATGGAAGATATGATAATTTGCTTTAGTGATTGTTTTTTTCTTAAATGTCGGTTTAATTTTCCCCAACCCCACCAAATATGAAAAAATCGCCGACCAATAAAAATAATGATCTCCTAATCAAGTCTTCTTCTCATTTCCCTATTTTGTGGTGGGGGTGGGGGGGGGGGGGAAGAGGCATTCATATACCGCCATGGATGACCTTCTCAGTGGTATTTTTTATTTTTTTATTGAAAACCTTAATCCCTAAACTAACAAGTAATTTGACACAAACCTTAAATCCAAATTACCTAGATATTAATCGAGGTATTTGAGTCCAAATTCCTCAAACACATTCTTATTCAAATGATCGTAAAAGTATTTTGAAATCCTTTCGCCTTCTTTTGACCATTGTTCCTGCAATTTCTGGCACCAACTAATTTCTCGCAGTTCCATCATTGGTCAAGATCACACTTGAAAGAACGTCCAATTCCCTCCTCCCCAATCACGCATGTACTTTCCTCCTTGGAATCAGTGCAGAAATGGCCTGTAATAGATTGTGAATTTCTTTCCTCCTTGGTTTCCAGATCTTGTGTGGATGATCTCTGGGTTGGTGTTTGAGGGAGCCGATTTTCGGTTCGCTTTCTCCTCTCTGTTTTTCTATCTACCCCCATTCACTTCATCCATAGATGTGGATGATTTGGGAGATGCATTGGCCATTGTAGTCTAGGATAGACTTTTGGGGAGCTTGGGAGCAGGAAAGGCATTGTTGTGGTGGGTTCTTGACCGATTTGCTCAGAAGTCAGATATGTGGGTTTCAGGAGCCACGTTTGTCCTTGTTCAGTGGTTACTCATCTGGTTTGTCTGTTGTTGCAGGTAGATCTTGGAGAGGTTATGATTTTGGTTCCCCACGTCCTTTCTTGCGATCGTTGTCCTCTCGTCGGCGTTGTGTTGTCCTTTGTGGTGATTCTTTCCCTAGCGAAGGACGTCTTGTGTTGGCAGGAGTTGGTGGCGGCGTGTTTCTAGAGATGGGGGATGCATTCGGTGGCCACCAAGCAATGCTTAGGGTCAATTGATGTAGGATTTCTAGATTAGACTTTGAGGATCGATTTGTTCAGATCAGGGCTTGGGCCCCGGGTGGTTTTGGGCCTTGGTTTGGGTGTTGGGCTGATGTAAAGCTTAGTTTTGATTTCTTTCTTAGTGGGCCCTTTCCTTCCTTTCATTGTTGTTTCAACCATGTACATTGTGGTTCATATTAAGGAAACGACTCATTAACGTTAAAAAAAAAAACTTAGTAAATTTCTTCATCAATTTTTCCAAACTCTGATTTAGCCCATTAATCAAAATTTAATACTCCATAATTTCTTTGGAAACTAAAATAGAGATTATTTACTGGGCTAGTTTGGTCTTGCTGTAGTTTTTACATAAGTAGCTTTTGGGTAGAGCTTTTAGAGAAGCATTTTTCAAAAAAAGCAGTTGAGTGTTTGGCTTAAAAACTACTAGAAGTGATTTTTAATATAAGAGGTTATGTAAAATGACTATAAAGGATTTATAATATAAAATATGAATGTAAATTCTAAACAATAAAAAGTTGTGAAAATGGATCTTGTTAGGTTTCTTTTATATTAAATATTATGATTTTATAATTTATTTTATTTTTAAAATGATATAAATGAAAGAAAATTATATTTTCTGCAATAAAATTAAAATATGATAATGATAATCTTGTATTTTTAAAACAGTTTTTCGCAAAAGCTCCAAATCGGAGCTTTTAGAGGTGTTTGGCTCTGCTTAAACTTTTAAAGTCGAAGAGCACTTCTAAAAGTCAGGCCAAACATATGCACTATCTCAATGATACGCCATTTGTTTTCCTTTTGTTTGGTGGATATAGTCTTTAGTCCGTTCATAAGACCATACAAAATGGTACTATACGACAATACATTTTACAAAATTATATTTATATTCATCTAACGGTTGAGATAAACAATTACTAATATTATTTTTCTTTTACGGGAACATGTTACTGTGTTCTACTAAAGGGGTGGGGGAAGAGAGAAATAAGTGTCGTGACTGAGATTTGAACCTGGAAACTTCGCTCCGAAAACAAACGACACGACCACTCAACCACGGCCTTGTTCGCAATGAGTGATATTATATCAGTTAGATATTATTTGCTTTCTATGGTTTGCCACTTAGCAAAGTTGGTTTGGTCAAATCATGTTGGTCTCTCTCATGCATTCTCTATTAGATCAACAATTCAATATACATGATGACCGTTGAACCAACTAACAATGTTTTTAATAGCTAGTTTTAAACGTGAAAAGGACCGGTAACGCGGACACTCTCTGTCCTTGTTTGGGGGCTTTTGGGAGTGAGACCTACCCAAACTACTATTCTCTTCCTGAGATTCCTCAAATATCATGGAGATCTTTGTCACGTTTTTAAGAATCATGTCGTGAAGATCTACTCCCCCAAGCCCCAACCCCATTTTTCACGTTACTTGAACACTCTTATAAGTTATATGGTTATTTCTTGCTGGCAAGCAACAAACTGGGAGCCACCTACTCCTCCTATTGGTTATTAGTATTTTTTTTTTTTTAAGAATATTGGTTACTATTAGTCCAATATATATCCAGTTGCCCAATAGATGTGGCGTAACAGGAAAGTAATTTGCTTTGCCGTAACTTTGATGAGCTCTCAATTTTCTTTTCTACAGTCCATGATGACGTTTTTACCGTCCATTTTTTTAATTCGACATTTCAACTCAATCGAAAAGTAAGTCCAACAATATTGCTTTCATTTGGATGAAATTTTGAGTTGAGTTATTTGGGTTAAAATAACTCTTTTGAAAATATTTTATTAAAGTGAATTATTTGGGTTGCGAGTGATTTGAAATAATTCTTACTCCTTGTTATTAGAAAATGACATATTTTACCCCTCTATTATTGTAAAATACCGCATGTCAATGGTTCCGTCAAAATAGATATTTCAAATACTATATGTCAAATTATCACTAAATTATCACATGGACAATTAATGAGTTATTTACTCAATAAAAATAAATAAATAATGAGTTATTAAACTCTATACAAATACACTATTAACAGTTAATACATCCAAACAACGCCTATGTTCTAATCTCTAAAATATCATTTTGCTGATTAAGGACAAGTGGTCACGACTTCAGTCCTTGCTTATATATAGACTAGGTAATGCCGCTCGCCTTCTTACTTTCAAACTTATTGTAATTCGCTATCGATTTACTATCTATCTATGGCAAAAAAACAAAAAATGATGCTCGCGTTCCATTGTGGGATTGAGATGAAGTGTTGAACCGTTTTTATTATTATCAAAGTGCTCACATATATTAGGGCTAAAATGATCCCCAAACGTTTAAAATGTAACAATAATGTCGAATAAGTATTAAAATATAACAAAATAACTATATCATGTCTTTTCATCCAAAATGGCAATTAGCTTGCTTACAATAAGAGGGAATTTTACAGGCTAGTGTCTGATTATACACGTGCAAATGTATTTTGTTAAAAATTATCATTGCTTTTCTTAACATATTTCATATTTATCATGCATATACAATATTTTCATGAAATTGTATTTTTCTCACTAAGTTTCTTCATTTCGATAATTTATTGTTGTGATTTGTCACTTATATAATGTCGGTATATGAAGAGTTGTTAACATTATCCATGGATACCCGAAACCCGATCATGTATGTGTATGGTTTGATATTCTATCTAATGCTTATATGGGTATGAATATGTGTAAACCCCAAACTATTTTGGGTTGAGAAATATATATGCATTATCTTACTCCGACTTGTTACCATTTCTACCCATATTGCATTTTAATGATAATATTATTATAAGCCAAGATTTTTATAAAATAAAATATATAGAAAGAGCCAACAACAAAAAGAAACACATTACTCCAATAGCACAACCCCAAATGAAAATCCATTTTGATTTGACATTATTATTATATGATGGTAATAAATGTAAAACTGAAAAAATAGGTGACCAAAACTAAAAATTTTAGGCAACATTATTATTGTACGATGGTAATAAATGTAAAACTGAAAAAAATTGGTGACCAAAACTAAAACTTTTAGGCAACATTATTATTGTACGATGGTAATAAATGTGAAACTGAAAAAATAGGTGACCAAAACTAAAATTTTTAGGCAACAGTAACTTGGATTCAAGTTTATATATAATAATATGGAGCTAACTTCATGATCATTCATTTACTGTTTTGTGAAATTACATGCGACTAGGATGGCAATTTTGCTCAAATTTATGAGTATTTATTTATCCAATTGAATTAGGTTAGGTATGAAACTCAAGTATAAAGTAAACAACTCGAGCTTTATGTAAAGCTAATAGATCTATAGATTTAGTACTTTTTTTTTTTTTGCATATAAGTCCTCAAAATATAAATGGAAAATGATATTTTAGTACCAAAAAGTTTGTGTCTTACATTTGGAGATCTAAATTTTTTTTAAGTTTTACAAATAGGTCCAATTTTGTATGTGTAGTTAAAACAATCTCAAGTAAATGGGTATTTTTTATAAGGGTGATATAGGTATATACCCAATCCATGCTCATTTACTATATAAATTATGAAAGCTATAGTCTTATCCTATCCAAATTCATCTACAAATTCCATACTAACATAGATTTCATCCATACTCTAGATATAATCAATTGATTTATTTGAATTTGGGTAAAATTAAACATAGGTAATTGTCATCCCGACCGGTGACAAGGGAACTAGAACTTTAATGTTAACGTAAATACACTTTGTAAGTGGTAATACAACTAGGAAAAAAAGAATCACCAACCCCTTCCTCTTAACTCTCATCATTTTGCTCCGATCCTATCACAGACGAAATTACCTCGAAACACCTAATTTGAGAAGGATTATTTTCGAAGATCGAAGACTACGTATTTTCGCTGCATAGTTTATCTCCAATTGGACAAGTGATTAATAATTATTGGAATGCACCAACAACATTTATTTCTAACATGAGAGATACGTAAGCCTAAAGGTTTGATTTAGATAGTCTAAGTCTGGTAGATTGTTGCCAATTTGCCACTAATTCACCCATGATTTCCTATTACGTGCACAATCGAAATAGCGGACCAGCTAGCTAGGGATACACATATATAAAAATAATAATCCGATTTGGTTGGCAATGGCATGTGTGCTAGAATATTGGATTCTCAAACTAATTATTAGTCAGTATCATTCATCATTTTTTTTTTAAATTAAGATGTGTATTGTCTATTGTGTGTGGCTCTAGTTTAGCAGAGGACTTGATTAGCTTTGTGGTCAAAGTTGGCGTGTCGACGATTTTCGTCGTGACCAAATTAAACACAAGCTAGATATAGGCTTAGTCGTACCTCGTGGTAAACGGATGGATATTTGATGGTCCTTTGTAACAAAGACGGGCATTAGGAGACATGCATTTAGATCTGGCAAATTACAATCCGACCCGAAACCGCCCGAAAACTAGAAATTTTTTAACCCGAAACTTGAATGACCCGAACTCGATAACCCGTGATTTTTTGGGTCGGGTCGGGTGGGTTAGCGAGTCGACCCGTTAGACCCGTTCCATTTTATATATTACTCCCAAAATATGATAAAATCACTTATAAATTGGTGATATGTTTAAAAAAATCACAAGGATTTTAATGACATGTTTGGAGTTTAAGGATAATCAAATATCATGTGTTTCTTGTAGTAGTATCACTTTTGTGATTGTTTTTTGACGATTTGTGCAATTTGTATTTCATTTCATTAGCGTGGGAGGATTTGAGAATATGTAAATTGACATGTGTTTGGTAAACTATTGTCATGCATATGTGAAAATTTGTGTTCTTTAAGAAAATATGAACTATGAAGCATGTTTGATATTGTTTCTGTGAACGCTCGTAACCCGAAATGACCTGTAACCCGACCCGAAACCGAATGGGTTGTGTCAATATTTGACCCGAAATCAGCCAACCAAACATGACCCGACCCGTAACCGAAATCTCCAACCCGAAATTACCCATCCTGACCCGATTGCCAGATACCACTACGTAATATTTAGAATATCATTATGAAATAATGAATGCCAATGTATATATTTCTTAGTTATTGTGTTTATGATGTCTTATTATTCCTACTCAAACTGTATGTGTTGCTACTACATGTGCGCTATCTTATCATCGCCCCATCCGATTTACTCAATGATCTGTTCAAATAGTGATGGACAAGTTGGTTATTGGTTTCATGGGCTCAAGATAGGGTGCATAATTATGAGTTATGCATCCATCAATAACCAAATCTAGACCCTTCATTTAGAAAATTCAGATCTAAGGATGGAGAATTAAAGATAATTTTTATTTTCTTTAACTTTTTTAATCGGCTCATATCTTTTTCGTTTTAACTCGGATTTTAATTTTTTTTGCACAGGTGGAACGAGTTCATCGTGCTCTACAAAATGAGATCAATTTTCAATATTTTTTTAGAAACAAAAAATTCTGGCCTCTCGGTACCAACTGCATACTATATGGTATTTTCTTCATTTTTAATTCGTTTTTGAAAACGTTTGCACAGAAGGGACGAGTTCATCATGATATATTGGATCTACAAATTTCTGGGTGAACAAATTACAGAACAAAAAAATACCACACAATGCCATACAATACCACCCTGGTATTGTATGGTATCTTCTTCGTTTTTAATTCATTTTTGAAAACGTTTGCACAGAAGAGACGAGTTCATCATGATCTATTGGATCTACAAATTTATGGGTGAACAAATTACAAGACCAAAAAATACCACACAATACCATACAATACCACCCTGGTACGGGGTGGGATCTTGTGGTATACAATGTTAAAAGTCGTAAATGACAATTAATATATGTCTACTATCATGTATTCAACCATCCTACAGTCTTGGTTTGTTCATACCACCATGGTATTTTTTTCAAACCACAGGTATGCTTTTATTTCAATACTAGTCAATACCATATGGTATAGACTGGTAAAAAATGACTCAATTTTTTTTTGTTCGAAAAATATATTAAAGTGAATATCATTTTGAGGAGCACAATTAATCTGATCTAACTGTACAAAAAAAAAATTAAATTTTGACTTAAAATGAGTGAGAAATCGTCCGTCAAAGATTAAAGAGGGGAAAATTAAAGGCTTTCCAGGAGAGAGAGGATGCTGATGTCATGCTGATGTGGACGGGTTACTCATGGTTACTCACCATAAGGTTACTCACCGAATCTGCTCCCGGTTTCATGTAAATTTTTAACGTAAAATTTTCCTTCAAAATATTTTTTTAATTAATTATTAATACCTATATAAAAATAATTTATAACTATTTAATTAAAACTATGAAATCTACACAAAACTAAGTAATAAAAAAAACAAATTTGGCAGTCTAGCACTATTTGTTGGAGCAAATCTCACTTTTGGGAGCCAAAGTGCCAAATAAATTTACCAGTCTTAACACTTTGGCATTTGGCTCCCTCCTTATTGGAGATGGTCTAACATGGACATTTTACGTGAATTCATTAATCTTGGAACGTCACTCTCTAGTTTTGTTTTGTGTTCACATCTCAATATATGAATTGGGCTATCCCCTTAGTGGCATGACTAGAAAAATGTAGCAATTATGCACTCAATTTTGGGTATCTGACACTCCACGATCCAATAAAATAGGTTAGAGTGTTATAAACCAACTGATATCAATAATTTGAGTTGTTGTTAGAGGCCCATGTATGGTATTTAATCACTTTCTAACACGCACCCCTCAAAAGACAGTCAATTCATGAGTTTGAAGTTTGCATAGACCCGTCATACCATGTGCTTGAAGATAACGGTTAATATTGGGGGTCGTGAGGACCTGAACACGTGACCTTAATGACAAACCATCTTTGATACCATGCCATAAACCAAATGGTCCCAATAACTTGAATTGTTAGGAGAAGCCCAATTGTATGATACTAAACCACTTCCTTACAATGACAGTTCTCGTATTTGTCGAGTAAGGAACATATATAGGGTCATACCCGAAAAGAAAGTGTCGAGGTTGAGTCAGGATTAGGTTTAGATGTCCTGCTAGATCCTCATACGTACGTAGTTTCATCCCACACTCAATTCCTATGCTACATACAATCAGTTCCATGTTATAATTGCAGCTTTTGGGCGAGAACCTTCATGATTATCATGTTTCCTTTGATCCCGCTTGAATTTTTATCCATTAGGGAGAGAGAGTTCTAGTGTGCTTTACGGCGACGGCGGAGGAGTCCGGCGACCAAAGATCGCGGAGACAAATTTGTCGACGACAGTGCTGGTTCGTGATGTTTGTCGACCTATTTTGTAATGTTTATATCAATTTGGTTTGTATCATTCCATTCTAGTTTGTTATTTTTGTTCACTATGTTTGTGATGTTTACATGACTAATTTGTATATATTTTGATTTATATTATTTGTTGCTCTAGTTTGTTTGTTTTTTTTTATGATTTGTATACTTTGTATTCATTGATTTGTAATACAATTTTATCGATTTTTATTGTACGTAGTGTTATTTTGTAATGTTAGTATGTTTTGTAATGTTTGCCGGTTTCTTCTGTAATGTTTGTTATTTTTGTAATGTTTGTCTGTTTTTTTATAATGTTTGTAAGTTTTGTTTTTTGTGCACCATGTTTGTCATTTTTGTCAACCATATTTGTTATATTTTTTTATGCCTAAAAAACAACCTGGTTGGCTTTTAGATGGAACTCCTCTATATAGAGATGGAGCCTCCAAAGTCAACCCGGTTGTTTTTCCATTGTGTATGGTTGTCGGTCTAGTTTGTCATTTTTATCCACCATGTTTGTAATGTTTGTATGTCTAAAAAACAACTAGGTTGACTTTGGTATGGATCCCCTCTATATAGGGATGGAGCATCCTAAGTAAACACGGTTGTTTATTTCGTTTTGTATGGTTTGTATTGTTTGCCGGTCTAGTTTGTATTGTTTGTACAGTTTGTATGTTTTGTATTGTTTGTAAATCTGTTTGTATGTTTTGTCGTTTTAGTTTGTATTGTTTGTAAGTCCAGTTTGTATACTTCGTAATTTTTCATAATTCTCAAATTACCCTGCCACTAACTAAAAATCTCTTCCCACTTTTTAACCATTGTATTGGTTTGTCAAGATCTAATGACTAGGAGGGGATTATCCTCGATTGTTGTTTATTAGGGACGGGAATTGGTTCAATTCGGTTAAATTGGACCGGATCTATTTGATTTTGATTTTTGACAAAATATTCAATCGAAAACCGAACAGTTTCCTAAACGGTCTTAACCAAATCGGATCAGATAATTTCAATATCATTAACTAACTCCCCGCTACGAGGATGATCACACTAAGCTATGATAGCTTACTTTGAAGTTACTTCTATTTTTCATGGGGACGGATCAAACCCCTAATAGCTTACTATATTTTATGGACAAAGATCCAACCCTAACTTCATGAATCATGATCAATAAACAAGGCAACTAGTACTCAAGCTTCCAAGAACTTATCTAACAGTACTATCACTAGTTTCAACTCAAAAGTAAAAAATTTTGAATGGCTTAAACGACACCTGATAATAAAGTTATATGAATCTGATAAGGAAACTGACTATTATTTTCTACCCCATATTTGCTTGGGAGAGGAGACCGAAACCTGTGACCCGGGCCTGTACGGGTGAGAATCAAATCAATTGATGGGCTGGGAAGAAGGTGCAGGACTTGGCCCGGCCCACCGAGAAACAAAAAAGTAGGAGAGAATATCATTTAATAAATAAATAAATGAAGGCGCAACCTCCTGAATCCTGATCTCTATCTGTATTTCTGTACCTTGGCCTTCAACTCCATTCCATACTCGTGTTTCTAATTTGAATGCAGCAGCCAGCAGTGAGAGTTGTTTGTTGGACCGACTCAAACTTCCCCTTCTTACTTTTACTTTTACTTTTACTTTCCACCCGCTGCCTCACAGTCACAGACAGACAGAGTCACGCCCACACCCTCGTGCAAAGCGTGTGCTCTTCATTTCACCCACTCCCAACCCCTCCCATCTACCTTTTACTTTTACAGTTTGCTTTTTTTTCCTTCTCAAACAATTTTACCCTTACTCTCCGGCTATCCCAAATACATTTCAATCAATTAACTTATCTACTCACAATGTCAGATTCCCCACGTTTTTAATATGGCCTTGGACTATTTATTTTTCCAAACTACTCAAAAAAAAATTATAAGAAAAATCTAATAAGCTTAAAAAGTTTATTATAATTATCAAGGAAGCCTTTCGAAGAATAACAGTAATTGCAACTATTTTGCAAGTGAAAACAAAACCCAAAACCTCAGACCCTAAAAAACAAACAAGAACAAATTGAGTCATAATACTGACTTAATTGATTCTTGAAACAAAAAAAAAATGAATTTATTATTTCGATCTTTGCAATATTTATGGCGACTTCTTCTCTACTCTACTCTAGTCTGGACTCTCATGTAACTCGTGTCTGAGTTACTGCTACTCTCGTCGTCCTTCTTCCTTCTCCTACTCCCCCTCCCTCTTTTGGATCTCCAAAAGAAGAGGGGCAAATCCGGGTATTCACCTCCCCTCCCGCCTTCCTTCTTCTTATTCTTCTTCCCCCCAAGTTAAAGCCCGTTCCCTCTCTCTCTCTCTCCCATACATTCTCTCCTCTCCCAACACCTCGCAGCAGCCATGTCCAAGGCAACCGCCGAACTCGATTTCTTGGGCGCGCAGAGTAATGGCGGCACTCCTTCCGAATCTCGCTTCCATCGCCTCCTCCGCCGCCAGAGGAGCCTCCGAGGTCCTCTCTCTCTCTCCGCTCCCTTCGCCGTCGCAGAATTTAATTAATTTTCTCCTCTTTTGTTTATGCCGTCTAACTGTCAATTCGCGGCCGCAGATATCCAGGGCGCCATTTCCAGAATCGATCCGCAGGTCCTCAAGTCCGTGATTTCCTCCGGCACCGCTCCTCCTGAAAACAAAACCATCGCCGCCGCCGCTCCCTCTTCTCCCAAGCAAGAAGCCGCCGCTGTTTCGTCTCCGCCGACGCTTCCTCTCTTTTCTACCACCCCGAGGTTCGTTAATTGATTGTGCCTCCTCCCACTCGCTTCTCCATTTTTGTTTTTCTTCAAATTCTCTGCCGGCGAGTTCAATGCCTCAGCACATTGATTATCTGTTTACCTTCTCTTCTCTCTCGCTGTGTTGTCTGTGCCAGTCCTGCTGCGGAAAATCCTGGCGGAATCGCTCCGTTGACCATATTTTACAACGGAACCGTCGTCGTCTTTGACATCGCTCCTGATAAGGTAACCTTCTCCGACCTCAGTCTCGCCCGTATTATCACTTCGCTAGCGAGCTCCATTATTCCCCCCGGTCGGCTGTAGAATTGAGATTTGAGTTACGTTTCGTTTCCAATTTGCGCTCACAAAAGAAAGGGAAAATCGGTTGTGTTTCAGGCCGAGAACATTCTGAAGCTCGCTGAGAAAGGCCTTTCACCTGCTCCGGGCGACCAAAAACCGGCGGCCGACTCCGTCCGAGGAGGTTTGTGCTTCCGCCGTCAATATCTGAATTAATCTCGTTTCGTCCAGACTCTCGCCTGATAATCAACTAAACGCACACTCGCATCCATTGTTTGTTGAATTTGCAGCTGACCTTCCGATGGCTCGCAGGAAGTCTCTGCAGAGGTTCTTGGAGAAACGCAAAGAAAGGTAAACAAAAAATATTTTTGTTATTATTTTAAATTCCCCATTCGGCCACGTTTCTCCTTGAGTTGTTTAATGGTGAATTTCGTTCATCTTTTCCCTCCTTCGTCCTCGCAATTGTTTTTTCTTTATTTATTTGTAGCTTTGAAAGGGAAGGCTAACGGTTTAGATCCTGGTCCCCTCTTTGTTGTTAACCCTCTTCAAACAGCTAGGAAGGATAAAAAAAAAAAAGAAGGTAGGGACGAAATCTGTTAATCCTTTCATATTATTGTTGTTGGCTTGAATTTCAACCAATATGAACCAAATGAAATTTAAACCGAACGTTAAGATGCGGATGAGAATATCGTAAGGTTTGAAATAAAAACCGAATCGAATTACAGATTAGTCTCATTTCGAGCCAGACCAGGTCTGCTCAGCTCTAACTGCCTAAATGAAAAGGAATAATAACTACAAAATCAATGCGTGTTGGTTACGTGAGTCGTGAAGTTTGTCCAATGAGGTAAAAGAAAACTGGAAAAGGATTTATTCCCCTTCAAAACGTGTCCGTGAGAAATTTGTCACAAAAGGCCAGGAAAGGGATAGAAGTGAGGACAAAGTAGGGCGTGGTGACAAAGACCCCACCGCATGCACCGACTAAATCTTGTGTTGTGAACAAAGGATCCATAGGGCTGGAAGTTTGGTACCAGTATTTGTGATGTATCGAATATCGTACTGAATTTGTCATTATTTGGTATTATCAAATACACCTATTATTTTTTGGGATTGAGATTAAATTTAAATTGTTATTCGGTATTAGGAATTACGGGATTGAGATCGGTATATTTCGAAATATCAATCAATACCGAAATATAAGCTAGTGTGTATTTTATTCTCTCAACTAGACTCTCTCATTCACTACTACGCGACCCTCTACTACCAAGAGTGTCATTTAATTATACATAGATCATTCCATCACTATTTCATACTAGTATTAGTCGTTTCTCAACCTCAAATTCGTCAAATTAAAGATTACCAATTAGAAGAACTTGAGATGTTAGCTCTAGGCAACTCGATACTCTTTTCTTAGTCTCTTTGCCCTAAATTAAAGAATAAAATCTAATTTATATATTAATTATTAATTGCAAAGGTAATCAATTTTGTATTCGATAAAATCGATTGGGATACCGAAATATTTAGGGATTGTGATTGGGTAACCAAAATTATTTAGGGATTGTGATTGGGATTGATTTTAGAGCGTAATTCGGTATTCGATATTTCAATATTTTGTATTAACATACCAATATCGTACCGATTTTCACCCTTACCCGTAGGCCATTTCCATCCCAACCCGACGGAAACTGCAAACTAACTCTCTCCGCTTCCATTAATTTTTGCTTTGCTTGCTTTGGATTTGTGCAGGCTGACTACGCATTCCCCGTACGCCTGCTTTTAGACTGGTCTACAGACTCTGGTGGCGGTGGAGGCTTTTTCTCGTTAATTGACTACCCAGCAAGCCAACGTTGTTATTAGTTAATAATATAGTTATTATTGTTATTGTTATAATCATATGAAATGGTTCTTATTTCTTAATATATAATGATATAGTAGTAGTCATAGGGTCTGACTAGCAGAGGGGGGGAAACTACTGTTTGGGTTTGTGGACTTTGTTAGTCGTCTAATGACTGCTCTCTGCCTTTTTCAATTTGCGATATTGCACTTTTCATTATTATTAATTATTATTCAATATTTGATTGAAAGTTCTTTAAGTATTTATTACCGATTCTTCCAACGACTACTATTATTGCTTACTTTGATTAAACTATTATTGTGGTTGTTGTTCTCTTTGATTAGTATTTCTTTATTGGATTAGTGGGTTGAATTGAGGGGAGGGGGAAATTCAGCACGTTTTCATTGCACACTTCTTTTTTTTTCCGCTCCTGCAAATAAAAGGCAGTTGACGTGTTAGGTTATTGGCTGGGTAGAAGTTGATCAGGTTTAGGTATCTCCGCTCCATAATTAAGGTCCTAATCGTGCTGCACAAATACCGGGCCACCCTATTCTACAAAACAATTAACCTAAGGCAGGAGGGCGGCTTCTAAGGGTGGTGGATCAAATCAAATACCCTGTTTCCTGAGTCTATCTTTGTTTAATATGCAAGAAATTGCGAGGAAGATGAAGATGCTTAATATGATATGGAGGAGGAAGCACTAAACTATTGCATTATTCTGTCTCATCACAAGACGATAACGTACACTATACAAGAATCCCGGAAGTGTTCAGTCATGGCTACGCTTCATCTTTGAAGTCCGTGGTTAATTGATTGGAATAGTTACAATAGATGTATTATTGTCCACAATTCATTATTATTTTTTTAATTACCACCAGAAATAATACATACGTTGTTTGTTTGATGTGATGAAAACTATCACTCAAAATGAGTGAGTATTATTTCTACTAAAACTTGAGATTGTTGAGATTGTTTTTAGGATTGTTTGGTTTTCTTTTTTTCCAAATATACCCCTAGTTATATATATATATATAGTCACATAAAAGTAAGAACAAAAGTGATATTTCTCTCAAAAAGTAATATAACATGTTGAATACTAAAAGAACTATGACCAAAACCAAACAATGTAAAGTACATTACATCATTTTCCTAAATTGCATGTATATTACAATGCATGCATTGACCACAATGATTTGATTTAAGTTAATAACCAAAATCAAACGACCTCGTAGTTGCAGTATTGTACTTGGTAGTGTCTTGTTAAGGAATTGTATGAATGAGGTTTTTCTAAAACTTGAATTTTTGCCCAAATCTTTATGTAAAAGAATCCGATATATATATATATATATATATATATATATATATATATATATATATATATATATATATATATATGGCGAGTTCTATCGTACCCCGGGTAAATTCCGGGGTATGGCGTACCTTGACGATCTTAACCGTACGTGTGATCTCAACGGCTGAGATTAAATTTTATTAAATGATTTGTTTTTTCGGAATTTATATTAATAAAATTACAGATCAACTCATAGAATTAGTTATTCTTTCATTTTAGTCCTCTATGTCCGTGGGTTGGTTAGTTTGATTTGGGTTGGGTTTTTTCAATATTTTGATTGAACCCAAATTCAACCACCCCAAAACATAAAGGGTACCTACCCCATCCAACCTACCAGCACTTCGTTCCCCCCATCCCGACCCTCTCTTCTCCGCTGCTACACGCCGATACCTTAATGCTCTATCCTCTTCCCCTGTTCCTCCGTCCTCCGCCGCTAGACGCCGCTAGCCCTCTCCCTACCCTTTCTAATCTCCCTTGTCGGCCCCAAATTCATCGCTCACCAACAACTTAGATTCTCCTTGCGGAAGGGATTTCGAATCCTTGCAACCAGAAGAAGAAGGAAGGGTTCTCCTCTGCTCGCTTTATCTGGCGATTGGCGTTATTGCTTCTCGAACGAGTTGCAGAGACCTTCGTCGAAAGAAAAAGGGGTGACCTCCCCACCGGAGAGTCCTCCCACGACGACACAAATGGTCTTTGATGACCCCGACGCCATTAGCCTCGCTTCCAAGTTCCGTCACTAACAGATCAACGGCGGCGCCTCAATGTTCTATCATTGATGATGTCAAACCTTCCTGGGTCAAGTTCTGCGAATTTTGTTTATCGCACATATTTGTGTTAAAACTAGATATGCCATACCCTCAAAATCAATAATAGGACCATGTTGTATCAGTATGCTATTATGGAAATTTTGGGAATTTATGTGGAGCAGAAAACTGAAGTTCGAATTTGGAAAAAAAAGAACTGAAATTTGAAATACGAACAGGAAGAAGACGATCGAAGGGAAGCGTCTGATCGTTTCTCAACCACTCACGAGATGGAATGTGGGCTAACATCATCACACTTATAGTTTCCATAAACTTAGCATACAAAACAAGAAACGTTGGCAAACTTAGTGGTTAAGCTAGTAGTTTACTATTAAGTTTGCTAGAATAGGTGTAGGGTTCGGATACTAGTTTCAACCATTATATTTAGTTTTTTTATAATTATTAGCGGTTTTATGTTTCTTCTTTGAAATCACTTGTTCATAGTTGATTACCCTCTCCTTGCTAGTCAAGTTTTTGGAAGAAATTTCATTTTTCTATTTAGAATTTTATTTTACAACTATTCATAAATAGTAATTCTACACGACATGTCATTTTTGTCACACACCACCGTTGTGCCCACCTCCACCTTGCAACTTTGCGTTAACCCAAAACTAGTACAAAGGACTAGTACATCCCAAAACAAACCTTTGCTAAACCACGTGAAAGGGCATTTGTAGGCTGTAGCGCAGTCTAGTGACTAAGTTTGAAATTCTGCCTTGACAAACTTATAAACGTGAAAGCTCCATGTTCCGAATGGTTCAATATTCTGCCTTGACACTAATGCGTGTAAAATGGATTGATAGAAGTTTGTCGGTTGACGTTCAATATTCTGCCTTGACACGATTTCATATACTAAGACGCATGTAACATAGTATATAACATTATAGTTGAAAAGTGAGACTTGACATCGATAGAAGTTTTACATTGATAGAAGTTTGTCGGTTGAGGTAGAATGTCTTGTTCCTTATAAATATATTTATATCAGGCACTAGCATGACATTGATACCTATGGCCAAGTCACGATGAGGTTATGATAGATCAAGGAAGATCTTATGAGATTTTTGTCGGAGATGATCCTATCACGTGGAATAATTGTTCTTTGTCATTCTAGATGATCAGCGAAATTCGGTAGACAGCTAAAGTACCATAGGTTGTTTTGAGATCCTAATTATTTGTTCACTATCGATTCGGATTATTTGTTGTCTAAATAATCCGATTGATTAAAAAGGCCTCGTATTTTTTGGCCATTAAAAAGGCCTCATGTGAATTCGAACATGCCTTTTGTACCAGGCCCAATCAGGCCCTTAGCAATAGCAGATCGGCGGCACAACTACTTTTGGCCTTGGGCATTATTTTTATTCTCCCAACACACTTCAATTATGGCAAAGTTGAACAACTATAAAAGCCTCCCCTACAAAATCAAGCAATCGATCCATATCCCTGCTTTTTCTTCCCCCCATGCGCAGGCTTCTCTATTTTCCTTGAGAAAGAAAACTTAACCGCCCTCCTCCTTCCTTCGCTTCCGCCTCCCTTGCATGCAAGCCTCCCCCTCCGCCTCCGCCTCCGCCAGTCAATCCACCGCTGGTCGGCGGTCGCTCAATACTGGTCTCCACCTCCGAGCCACCATCGTCGCCTGCCACCGCCGCCGCTGATTCGCTCGAGGGGTTTGTTGGAAATGTTCCGTTCCTAACAGGGTTGTGGGAAGAAGAGCGGCAGAAAGTTCCCAGGACGAAAGGCAGGAGAAAGTTAGGGAGAGAGCAGCAAGGGTAGGGTTGTCGTCTGTTGACAGAAGAGCAGGCGAAGGAAAATCCTGTGGAAAAAAGGAATTCCAATCGTCGTCTTCCTTCCTTCCCGGACTAACAAGGAGTTGCCGCCGACCACGTTTCCACCGCCGCAGGTACATTTTTGTAAATGCTTTTTAACTATTTGGTACGGTGGATTAGAGTATCTGACGTAGTGTGTTGTTATACTCGTAGGTGTAATTTTCTTACAATGGATCGTGTATCTGAATGGTACCCGTAAGTATTGTTTAGCAACTAATCCTTAGACTGTCTACTCCGCTTCCTTTTCGTATGGTCAGACATTAGTAACGGTTTTATTTGTAGGGATTTTATGGTTGAGCCTGGTTTCGTTGCAAACCTGCTGTATGAGGAAGCAGTAACTATGTTTGAATTTACGGAATCACTCAGTCTTATGTTGTTGCAAGAGAATGGTGACGTTGAGGTTATTGAAATAAATTTTTTTTTGTCATTCATCATTCTCGCTCTCGTTTGCACTTTTTCTGTTTGTTAATGCTTGTTAATTTTTTTTTGAAAATCCATTTGTTGTTTTAAACACCAGGGCACTTCTTACCTCTTCTCTGGACGTGTCACCGAGTTGAGGACATCATGGTGTGCTGCATCTAGAGTTCATTTGATCCACTTAGTAATTGAGGATGACTATTTGGATGTTGAGGTTGTTTTCCCATCGGCAAACTTACGCAAAATCCTTTCAGATGTAGTAAGTGATGAAGACATGGCCAATGCCGATTTCGTTACCCTTGTCAACTTGCTTGGTGGAAACTCTTATGAGTTTATGGTCACATTGGGTCCTTGGAACCATGGGTATTTTGAGCTGTTATTGGTCAAACTATTCTTTCCTCGTGGAAACTGAATACCATTACAGCAATGTCAATAGTAATCTACTAAATTTGCTTAGTGTCGGCCTTAATGCCATTTCTCTTGTTATCCAAGTGTACTAAGTGTGTGAACACAATGTTATTTTGTACGGGTCCTGCCTTCTTAATGAATTGTTGCTTCCTTATGGGTTGTTTGTTGCTTCTTAATACACTACATGCCACAAACAATCAAAAATTAGTATTCATGATTCATAAGAAAGAGCGAACTTGAAAATTAATAACAAGAGCGAACTTGAAAATAAAAATACGAACGTGCTTAAATATAAACATCTATCAATAGGAACGAATGATTGCAAAAAATGTCAAAATCTATACATAGCTAGCTAGGATCGTTAGTTTTACAAGCTGAACAATATAGTCCAACGTAGGAAGCAACAATTCTACCACATAGCTTGAAAATAAACATCACACTTCACTACAGCTATATAATAATGGCTGGTTTTCATGAACAAAATAAGTCCAGAAGACTTTCATTAAGTGATTAATTGACTTGGG